CATTTTGTATGCAGACATATCTATGGTAGGTGCTTAAAGTAAGGTATATATAAATGAGTTTGTATAAGGAAGCGTAGCTCTTAACATAGGCTTGGAATTTTTTTATCAGCCATAACTTCAAAACCACAAGTCACATGACCCTTTTAATTCCTTCTGACGTGGGGGAGACCCGCGGGTAAAAGCTAGTAGGCTATAAAACTGGATACATTTTGATAAAAAGTTTAAAATTGTTGGCTGTAATTGATGAAGTTTGTTTAATTTTTGTAATTTTTTGACGAAGTTTGAAATGTGGATTTTTGATTTGCTAGTTATTGAATGTGCTATAGAATTATAAACATTAAATAAACAAAAGACAAATAACCAAAACTGGTCAAAATATCACTTAACTTAATCAGCTGACCACAAGGGCATCTCTATAATGCCTAATGCTTTCCTACAGTTCCTATACTAAATACTATGGAAAAAGAAAAGGTCTCAATTAGACTTAAGCAAGGATCACACGATTTGTACATTTGTACACAAAATGCCAAATTTAGATTTGTCCACATTTGCGCATTTGGATAGCGATGTACAAATGATTTGTTTTGTGATCAGACGATTTGGCTGCCAAAGATCCAAATGATTTGGCACACATTTGCGCACAGCAGTAAAGTGACAAATATTGTCCACATTCATTCACACGATTTAACCATTTGGTTAAATAAATTTATGATTTCGTAAGATTTGAAGTGAAATAAACAAAAATAATATATACGCACAGGTACTCGGAATTTTGAATACACCCTCAAAATCTGGGCTGAAGGTAAAAAACGCGTTTTTCATAGGTTGAAGCATGATAAAAATATAGTAAGGTAGAACCGCTGAGAGTTACTTTTAAAATTCTTGACGTTTCCAAACATTTTAATTTTTAAATTTACTCATAAACTCACACACACATTTTCATTTTCAATCTCAAGCAACAACAATTTCGAACAATTTCAATTTTTTATTTTCAATTTTATATAATTTTAAAATGCTGGAAAACTTAAAAAAAAATCATGGCCGACAAATTGAGAGAACGGTTCTACCTTGCTATGTTTGTATCATGGGTTGAAGATAATACTTGCACGTAACTTTATTTCTGTTTGCCCGATGAAAAATACTTACATATGCCATTTAAGAGAAAACATTTCGTTGTTTACAACCATTTATAAATGGTTAATTTGTCTTGAGAATTGGCGCCCTTGGTATGAATACTAGTAAACAAAATAGTCGGACACGTCGTAATTTAAAATGAAACAAATAAGAAAGTCTAAGTTCGGGTGGAGCCGAACCTTAAATACCCGGTGCAAGTATTAAATATATGATTTTTCACCTTTCCGAAAGCTACCGCTAGATTGTAAGCCATGGTGTATCAATTTTGAGTAAATTAGCGTCCTTAAATTTCGAAATATTGCAGTTTCAAGCATTTCTGAAATTTACCGTTATATGAAAAGCGTCCGTAATTTTAGTCTGATTTCAATAATTTTCAACGTTTTGCTTTTATGTGCCAAGCACAATAAAAGTACCGAGTTTGGTACAAATTGGTAGAACGGTTACCGATATACATATATGTGATCATAAGCGGGCGGTGACACGCCCATTTCCCAAAATTTTACCATAACGTATTTCTTGGTAAAGAATTGTTGCAAGCATCAATTTTGAATAAATTAGCTTTAATATTTACTGATTTATTGAAGATTTTGTATATCTCTAAATTACCGTTATATGGATATGGGCGTGGTTATTGTCCGATTTTTTAAATGTTCGGCCATTTAGTATGCTGTACCAAGGCGAACAACTGTGCCAAGTTTGGAAGAAATTGGTGCAGCGGTTACCAAGATATACACATGTAACCATAAGTGGGCGTGGCTATGCCCATTTTCCAAAAATTTATATTATTCTTATTTTTCGTCTAAATATTGATGTAAATATCAATTTTGAGTGAATAATCTTCAGTAGTTACTAAAATATAGCAGTTTTCGTATTTCCGAAAATTACCGTTATATGGGATGTGGGCGTGGTTACAGCCCAATACCAACCTACCTTGGATTAACGGGAACCTACATACCAAATTTCGTTGAGATACCTAAATTTTTGCTCGAGTTATCGTGTACACGGACGGACGGACAGACGGACGGACAGACAGACATGGCTTAATTGATTTCTCTTTTCATTCTGATCATTTATGTATACATTTGTCTATATCTATCTCCATTAGTTTTGGCTGTTACAAACAACCGTTATGTGAACAAAATTAATATACCCTTGTGCTCAAGTGCGCTCGGGTATAAAAATGTTAAAAATTAAAATTTTGCATATACTCTGTAAGATTCCTTTCAGTGATCGGACTTCTACCACATAGTTGTAGATCTGCCACATTTTTGAGCACATCTACCGCACCAGGTCTGAAATCCACCTCATATTCGCGTTTTTGAGTAGTTTTAGTTTTGCTCAACATAATTTTCTTAATTTTAAGAACAAAAATTGTCCAACACTAAACACTAACAACAGGGAGAATGGGAGGATAAAATAAACTGTAAAATAGTAAATTTTTGTCAATATTCAATTTTTCGACATCAAACGTGGTTTTATTGTGTTAAATTGCAAAATATATGATTTATAAAAAGAATTAATAGCGAAAATGATAAAAAACGGGTATTTTTGTGGAAGGATTAGCAAATTTCAGTGCATCACAAATTTCTAAAGCGTTGTTTACTTTTACTTGAGAATTGTCGAAATCGGCAAATCCCAAATAGCATTTCTGGAACGAGCCACATTTGTTCGCTACATCGCGACGTGATAAAAATAAAAGCTGGCAGCACTCCGCAAGGTTGCAGAAATCTTTCAAAATATGTTCGAAACTGTCAAGGAAAAAAATTGCCAAAACTCAACGCAATTTTTATCAACTTCAATCTTGCACTTTATTATAATAAAATTAATTTTGTTTTAGATTTTAATTAAAATGTTTGCAATTTTTGTACAAAGTTTGATCCAAAACCTGAGATCTACCACATTTTTTTGAAATTTAAAACATTTTTTTCAGGATTCTACCATACAAAGTTTTTTTTAAGTCCGATCCCTTTGCCATTTCTTAAGATAAATTATCAATTTAAACATTGCTGTAAGCACCGAAATGTCTTATCTTGAATCACATACATATATACGTATTTTTCACCGGGTAAACAGAAATGAAGTTACGAGCAAGTATACCTGTGCGTCACCCTTTGAAAAACGCGGGTTTCGAACTTAAGCCCAGATTTTGAGAGTGTATTTAAAATTCTGAGTATGCAGATTTTACTGCTTGAATAGACCTATAACAAGTGTGAACCTCGAAAAAACTATATACTTTTTTTTTGTCACACAGTGTAATTTAGATCGTCTTTAATAATCTGTATATCGTTGTTTAAAGTACAATATCGCGTATCAACAAAATGCAAAGCCGCCTATGTGAGGTTGCATAAATTATTATCTAGATAGTAAATACACTCATATTTCAAAATGGTTCTCTTTTTATAAAGCAGTCGCATTTCTGGATAGTATATTTCAGGACGAATGGATAAGGATTGAGCCAACAGCTTCTGTAAGCAAATCCAATTCTTGGCAGCAAATGTCAGTTACGCGATTTTGCAGAATGACGATACGCGGTTTTGTACTTTTTACGACGATATGCATGTATGTATATGTGTATAGCCTGCAAAAACTTCCGAAAGAGATCCGAAAACTGAAAGAAAGGTGAATAGTAAAGTGCCACGAAGGGTTGTGAAACGAATACTTTTCCGGTTGGTTTTCTGAAATTTTTCATTCTGAACTTCACTTAATTATACTCAGAAATTAATTATACTTTTATAAATACTTTTTAATATGTTCTCCTGTCGGCATAAGAACCTGGGACCTCATGAAAGCTTACAAATAGTCGCACGCTTCTCTGCACACTCAGTTACTGTCGAATACGTATATGTACATGTTTTCAAATGTTCAGTTTGAGCTAATATTTTAAAATTATTGTTTTCAAATAACGTAATATTTTTCCGTAGTTTTCGGATACGTATATTTTATTAAATATTAAAATTTTACCAAAAAAAATACAAAGGTTCACAAGCACGAAATGGCAATACCGCTCAACAATATTTGTATATTTGTCACTGGCATTTGTCATCAAGTGGCAAATCACATATTTGGTCATTTGCGTAATTTTTATTTGGCTTATGTAGCAGCATTGCGTTCACACGATTTGGCCGCCAGGGTTGTTTTTAATTTGCCACAAGAAGGCAAATATTTGGCTTCTCTGATAAATGACAAATGTAGTTTAGCGTTCACATGATTTGTCTATGAATTTGACAAATTTTTAGCCAAATGTACAAATCGTGTGATCTCAGCTTTAGATTAGTCATGATTACTTTTACGAAAGTACTAATATCAAAAGTACCGTTCCGAACTAGGAGATTATTGGCAAAGAGAATCACTGAACAAATTCTGTAATGAAAAGCAAAAAAAAAAAACAATTTTCCCTTTCGAGAACTAGACAATCACAGTTATCATAACGTCACCAACAAGTTACCGCAAATTGAAAATGTATTCAAATGAAAACGTATTTTAGATGAATTTATGTTCCAGCCAAATGCAACTATGAATAAAACGACTTTTTTGTGTATATTTTTTATATATTTGCGGTAACTTTATTTGTAACATTGTTTATTGAACATTTGAACCTGACAACAATTAGAGTTTGAAGAGATATTAAGCAAGCAATAAATATTGCATTAATATATTTTGCTGAAAGAGTTCATAACTATTTTTCGTATTTGGTTTTGGTTTTGTTTTTGGTTTTTGATTCGCATTTTATAACTCTATTGAATTACTGTAACAGCTCTTATAGCGACTTGTTAGCTACGATGGTATTATTATCATTTTTGGCTAATATAAAAAATATTGAAAAATAATGAAATTTATTTTGTTAAATTGCATAATTGTTTACTTACAAACACAGGTGGGTAGTTCCTTTGGCACCCAGGATCCATCTGATTGGCAGTAGCGCTCATGTTTACCCACCAACTCATAGTTATTGCCACAATTGTAACTAATTTTACAGCCAAATGTATAACACTCGCCAGCGTGCCAGCCATAAGCTGGATCCGGTGGTTGTCCACAAGATCTTGCTGCAAGCAAAACAAAAACACAAAACCAAAACAAAATTAATACTAATACATAATTAAACGTTTAGCTCGTTGTATGTATAATGGATCTTACGTTCGCACTGTATATCCGGTCCGTACCAGCTGGCCTGACCATCAATAGCAAGACATTTGGCGCGAGGAAATCCATTTGTTACGTAACCAGTGTGGCAATGATATTGAACTGTTGAGTCGAGATCGAAAGTCTCCTGCTCGGGTAGGGCAGAATGGCGTGCATGCTCTATTTGTGGCGGCTTTAGACAGTAAACTGTGAAAATATAAAGAAACACATATGAAATACATACAACTACATCACATAATTTTTTAACTAAAGGAACATAATTTTTTCAAACAGAGTAATTTTGGGTTTTCCCATGTTAGCAATTTGAAATTTTTTAACATAAAAAGTATTTTTTTAAAACAAACTCAATAACTCAGCTCAATGAAAAAAATTCAAACAACGCCATCCTGTAACTGTGAAAAGTTTGGTTGACCGATCACAGAGTTGTGTTGTCTAGACATTTGTATCGAAGATGAGTTCAGAATAATAAAATAATTTCCAAACAACACCACTCTCTAACTATCAAAATGTACAAATGCACCAATCGCTTGATTTGGCCTTGGTTCAAATTGACCATTTGAAAACACACTTGCATGTTGTGGCTGTAGGTGAGCTCGCAGAGATGCTTGCTAATATTTGTTAGCTTTCAGAAGGGTCCGGGTTCGAATGCCATATAATTTGTAATTTTTTTTTCGGGTTTTCTTGATTACTTGCTGTTAGTAGTCGCGCACAAACAAATAACCAGACTGCGGATTTCTATGCAGAAAACGGAGCCTAAAAATATGTACCATACAAATTTGCTTATAGTTTTGTGGTACATATTTATAAGCTCCGTATTTTGCATAAAAATCCACAGTCTACAAATAACATTCTCCGATACCTTGGAGAAAATCTGTAATCGTGTTTGCATTCCAAACTTCAATCGTAATTTCCCAAAACCTGTCGAAAGTAACGTACGACAATATTTTATCCACGCAAACATCCTGGTCTCCCCTCTCACGAGTTATGCAATTATCCCCAAAAAAATCCCCATTTTTCTTTTATATCCCCATTTAAATCCCCTTAAGTAAGAAATAAAAAAATATGTATTCAGTTTATTTACAGTTTTGAATTCTTTTATATTACAAATTTTCACAGTTGTATATGTGTACATATATATGTGATCATTTGGTTATTTACGTACAGCGGTTGCTTATTTTTTATGGTTTTTGGAAACTATTTAACAACATACCTTCGGCCCAAGGTTCCTATTCCCATTGCTGTCTGTAAGTTCGTCAATTTCTTTTGTGCGCTTGCCACTTTGTAAAATTCTATTTACACTAAGGAAATCAGAAATATATGCAGTCCACTCGGTAAATGCCAATCATAGCGATCCTTTTACAATTTGGTGTAATGAAGTGAGAGAAAATTGTGTGTTCAGCCAAAGCAATTAAAACAGGCATTTTTCCACGAATAATAAAGTAAGAAAATCTTTGTTTGAGAAATTTTTAAGGGCAGGCAGTAAAATATATGTATTTTAATTTCAATATGAATATTTTAAACCAAACAAAAATCCCCATCAAATCCCCACATCCCCAAACGAAAAAATCTATCCCCAAATGGTTTCAGAAATCCCCAAAATGGGGCGAAATCCGTACATATGGCAACTCTGTGTGCCACCATGTTTTGTGTTGCCACTTTTGCGATATGTGAGCTAGTTTCGTAGTCTATTTTGATACTTTCAGTAGTAAACTATTTACCCTTTGGAGCGGAGAGCTCAATAAAGAGAGCAGACAAACGGCTGTTTACAATTTTGTTGCTGTAAATGTTGCTTCTTTTAACTTTTCAGTAGGCAAATTAAGAAGTTCAGACTTTTCAAGTTTTAAATACAGATTAATATAATTTAGCAACATTTTTCAAAATTTGCCACTGCATAAATGGACACTTTTTTCATACGAACAGTATACAGAAATTGCATTAAAACATTTTTATAAACTAAATTGAAAAATTACCCCTTCAGACCCCTGGGTGGTCAAGGATAAAAGATTTTTTTCTTACAAAAATGTGGGAAACCATTTACTTATTTAAGCTTAAAACACATGGGAAATGACAGGCTACGGAACAAAGCTTTCAAATTATTTTAACACGTACTCTTATGCATATCATTATTTTGGCGGCGACAGAGCTACCCCACGGCGAAAGAGCTACCCATAGGAATATATAGAATTTTATATAGAATTTCACAAGTAATTCCTCAGAAATAATATCAAAATGCTCTGGCGTGTTTGGAATATCTCACAATAATTGGTAAGATCGAATCTGGCATCGCCACTGGGAACCTTCCCGTTTTTTTAGTATAAACTTAGAACGTTTTGAGGAGTCTTGTTTAAAGGGGTTTGAAAACACCTCGGTCAAAGAATGGAATGTCCCCAAAGGGAATTTTCGTTTAATGACTCTCATTACCTAGTTTCTAATGGGCAAATAAAGGAAAAAAATATATATATGTATTTCGCAGATTACGGATCTATATACCGTTTTTCCAGATCAGGCAAGGCATATCTAACAGGTAGTAGCATTAGAGCAAAAACAAGATTTGCGTGTATTTTGTTGTTGCTTCTGGTATCGAAAGTGACATAAACTTTTCTGTTTTTTTTTCTTTTTAATAAAAGCGTCCGATGTGAAATACAAAAAAAAAATAAAAAAATTTTAATTGGAAAAAATAAAAATTGCTGCAACTATCTTTCTTAATAAATTTTTTTGTTTCTCGAAGCATTGACCTATCCTTTGCAAGGCCCAGTTGGGTGAACGTTCCGAAAGCTTCTATTCAATAGCTTGCCTTGTATGGAAAAAGGTTTCACACACAAATAGATTTTAACAATATAGAATTTTTATGAGAAGAAATTAAAAATTTTTGACATTTTCGAAACCAAATAAATTGAATTAAAAAATCAAATCAGCAGCTCTGCTGATACCACCTGTTCAATGTGCCTTGAGATCAAGTGATTTTCCAAAGAAATTTTCATTTTAAATTTGCATTGCGAATGGAATGTATTACTCATACGGCTATGTACGAGTTCGGCCATGTACGATATGGCGTATATTTCTTGCTTCTATTTCATTCTAAAAATTATTACATATTTTCATCGTTAGTAGCAAATTTTTTGTGGCAATAGAATAGGCTTTAAAGGCCGTGTCATACGATTGGTACATTTGTACAGATTTTTACATTTTTTATATGGGGCCCTTGGTATAAAACAAAAAAAAAATTGGGAAGATAATTTTTTGTAGTCAAACGATTGGTACAATGCAGCGAGCTTCAATTGAACAAATTTGTACAAACTATTTGTCGGGATTGGGATACATATTTGTGCATTCAAATGATTGAAATACGATTTGCATAAAATTTGGCAAATGCCCAATCGTGTGACACTGCCTTAACGCAAATGAAAAAATACAAAATGGTGATCGTTTTTTAATTGTTAAATTATGTTTTTTTTTCATAAAAATCAAAATATCTTGAGAAAATGACCTGATCTAGAAAAACGGTATACATACATATGTATGTATCCAAACACAAAGACCCAAAATTAAGTTTACGTGTCTAGGCGTTGTCCCTACAGTGTTATGAGACGAACTAGATATGTAACGTAAGTTTCACTTCTACAGAGTGGCCTAGGCGCATTTACTTTTGTTTCACTAGTCAAATATTATTCTCCACCTAGACAATTTCCCTTTATTTAACCATTTTTTCATAGTAACTATAATCTATAGATCCGTCAAAAACCCCCAAACACCACAAAAAATGCAATGGGGGCACCAAGAAGAAGTCGTTAGTATTAAAAATTGGTCAAATAAACAATTGGGTATTTTTATTGGAAGTCTCCCGAAGAGAACCAGAGTTTTCCGATCGAAAAATATTGATTTTCAAGAATTCCATAATTCCATTATTTCCCAATATAAAATACATGAAAACTTTGAGCGACCTCGTAAATACCTTTTTTATTTCAAAATAAGAAAATAGGGTTTATTTTTTTCGACATAGACCAATCCTAGGGGGTGAGAGCATTAAAATTCTGACTTTACTCTTTTTGTGTATACACAGACGTCCTCAAAGCTTTTGACTAAGTTTTAAATTGGATTTTAATCAACAAGCTAGTATGTTTAGTATGTTTTATTGATTGGACTTTATTCTACTTATGTAAGAGAGTCTGTGTTGTTAACATTGATTGAATGTCTTCCGAATCTTTTGTTGCTTCATAAGGGATTCTACGAGGAGCACATCAAGGCCATTATTGTTTTTCCTATTCATCAACGACACAAACAGCTATTTTTATTTGAAAATTTTCTCTTTTATGTAGAGGGCTTTAAAGCATTAGCAACAATTAGAGATTTACATATTTGATGAGATAAATCGTGAATAAATTGATGCGCGTCCGAAAACGGGAAAGGGTAATAGGACATGATGAGCTGTCAATAAAAGACATATAGAGCTGAGAATTTTTCGCGAACACGGTATTTGAAAGCATATTGGACTAATGGTTCACAATAGAGCTGTTAAACTTACGATGGTACTATAGAATGATTCTATTTTTTGCACTTTGGAGTGGTCGTTGGCCACTATCGATTGTTTTTGTTTGAGGAAATATGCATATTGTTTATCAGGCCGATTCTGAACAGAAACTCCCCGGGAGTTTTCTCTCTTTTCCCTTTCCTCCTATCATGAATAAAAACTCCCTGAGGATTTTTCATATTAATTGGCGGAGTTGAGCTCTCAAAAAAGGGTCAACCAGCTTTTTCGAAGTTCGAATTTCTCTTGGGAGTTAATCATTGGGGGATTTCTTTCTCGGGAGAAACTAATTCCCGGAGAACAAACTCCCCGAGAGTATTAAGAATTAGCCTGTATATTATATGTACTACTTGTATGCATTTCTTTATTTTTGAAAATGGGAACTTGGCAACATTAATTTACTTACAAATAAATTTTTTACCTATTACCGGGTTTTACACGGATCAAGTATTGAAATAACTTCTGCTTGCTTTTGTCGTTGTTGTTGTTGTTGTTGTTGTTGTTGTAGCGGTTGCTTGCTAGTGGAATAGAGGGGTTGAGAAGAAAAGGGAATAGTATATATGCGTCTGTACCGTCAAGTGGTTTCAAGTTTCTTTCTTTCCTTTCGACATTTTCGTTGTTTCCCATTTAAAGAACCAAAAACTGGAATTCAACAAAATTT